GTTGACATCATTGGAAAGCTGAATGAATGACTTCAGTACGGAGCCACTTTAGCAATTTTAGGACCACAGCTCTCTTAGGACCACAGAACTCTTGGGGACCACAGCTGTGAAGTGACGAAGATAAGCGAAGTTTTTTGGTCCACCCTTTAATACTGTATTTCTGTTGCCAAAAACCATTTGCAGTGCTGTGAAATTTTTACTGATCCTGTTCGACAATCGCCTCATGAAAATAATGTCTAAGAAGATGGGGAGAGCATTATATTGTTGAAACGTTCTTTTAGTGGTAGTGCGTCAATGAGTATATAGGCAGACATGACTGAGCTTTAAAGGATAATTTGCCTCGCAATTGCAATTCATTTCCTTATCAATGCCTCCAAACATTCAGACCACAGAGCTAAAAACCAAAAAAAAAACCATGTCCAAGGCTAATGGGAATCCTCAGCCGTACGTCACAATGAAGCATTCCATGAGTAAATGTTGCAATGAAGTAATCCAGTTTTACTGATACATAAACGGAAATGCAAAGGAATGATGAGAAAATGCACCATAGGGCTGCTTAATAATGGTCAGTACCTGACTACGTACAGTAGTGAGGGGGATGGCCTATGCTAAATGCATAGGCCATCCTAATGTGCGAGGAGAAATTATCATCGTTAATGTATGTGACTGTGAGACCTGCCGCTACACGCACTGGCAGAAATGAAAGCAGCAAAATTCATGTGTCACATTCGCCAGAGTATCAGTGTCACATTCGCCAGATGGCTGGAATTACACCAGACTCCAAGTCGAAAGTGAAACATTGACGTGCTGGTGTCAGTCGTTGAGCCGACATCGCACGAACGAAGGCATTGAATATGATTGAGTTAGATGTGCAGTTCTTCTCAGCCATCAGGCAATACACCAGTAGGACGATGGCATCCTTCACCTCTCCAATGGATAGTTTATACTTGCTTGAACCAATCCTTCTGACATCGGGGTGCAACGCCAAAGGTCCCATCAGCATTCCATCGCTTTGCCTCTGCAAAAATATGATCTTCAAATCGGCAAAATCTAACAAATCTGAATGAATTGTCTCAAGCAATCTTACCAGCTAAAAACTTCAGATTCGAAGACGTGACGAAGACAATAATCCTCTTTCTTCCTTTCTGGTCCAAAGACGGACAATTTTCCCCTTGAAACTGGCAAAAATTCCTGGGAATATCGAAATCTTCAACATATGAGGGTAGAGGGGGCTGCTTTGTCCGTCTTTGGCGTCGTAAAATACGTTTCGTGTTGTAGATGGTCGGGAGGTATGGCTTGTGTCCAGAAGAACTCGTGTGGTCTATAAAAGCTTCGATAGAACGGTAATATATTACAGACCATCACATACCAAGGTCAAGACATATCAGAGCAAGAAGGGAATACAAAATGTTAGTATTTTTCAGGGCTCACAGCATTATTGACAGGAGAGGACCTAGGCTGATGGGTATCTTCTGCAGCTTGTTTGAGGGATGCCTAAACATGTTTCGCTATGATGGTTCGTTTTTCAACTCCATGTGTAGGATGCACATCGGGTGCCTCCTTCAAAATAGTTTCTCCTTCTGTCACAAGATGAACTTTGCAATTTCAATCCTGGCATCTCCAGTAAACCTTTCCATCCTGTGACTTGTCTTTGCTGTACATATAACCTCTATTCACGAGCAAAGCACAATATTTTTTGAGTCTTGTGAAGCGTGAAAGGCATGACGAACCCAGTGGATCCAGAAAATAACAAGCCGAGGGGGTGATGAAAAGGAGAGGAGCGAGACTGACTGCTAGTTCATGGGCGAGTATGGTTCGAACCCCATTCAAGGTCACTAACAATAACTGGAATGATTGCCTATCTCTGAAGATAGACGATCATTCCAGTTTGAGTAGGCTGAGCATACAGTCTATGAAGGCATGAACTAAACAAGAGACCAAGGCTAACTCTAGTTAGAAAAAAAGGACGTAGCCCGAGACAAGCACATTCGACATTTCTCGACTTTCTGGTTCTTTCGACATTTTATGCCGTCGACATTCTTGCAATTCGACGAAAAATGCTCGACCATCTGCCCCAGAACCATTCATTGACCGGGTCAACTTCTCTGAAAAGGTTTGGAATAGGTCCAAAACGTGGGAAATAAGCACAATCGTTATAGTAAGATTCCCATGCCCTTTCTGTCCCAAAATATCCAACTAAGGAGCAGGAAACCATGAAATATAACAAGGAGATATGAGTGATTACCTTGTAGATAAATGTGACCACATACAGTCCTCATGACCTGACTGGATTCAGCAGTGGGAAAATGTCGTATCCTCAAGCCTGAAAATTTCTTCCATTTATTCATTCCAAACAAATGAAAATGGAAAAGAAAAATTAGATGCAGCTGTCACTTAGGTCCATTAGATGCACCTATCATGAAATCATGCAGGGTGGGTTGATCTTTGTCTAACGTTACAGTCGGTCTACTTAGGTTTCTTTGGCATGTTTGATGCCCACACCTACCTAGGTTGAGCCTAGAGAAGGCCTCGGCTTTTAAATGCATTCTCTCAATGACTGCGGATACATTTAATGAAAGGTGCTAAGGTATATATGTGCTCAGGTAGAAATACCAGGCGAGGCTGAAAGTATAATAAGCCTAGATTCACCACAGAATATGTGGCTGGAATGGCTTTTTTTCCTATCTCGCATTCGGAACAGGCTTGTTCCGAAAGGAAAAAAACTCAATTTCGCCGGCGGATCGACTTTGCTGCAATATTCTGTCACGCCATGACTAAAAAAATACTAATATTGCGGAGAAAATGTTAAAGGTTGTCCTAGTGTAGTGGAAGGGTCAGGTTAACACTGCCTGCATTGTTGGTCCTCAGATGGAAGGCCTATTGGGGCTTTTCAGCTAATTATTTTACTTGAGCCTGCAGAGCCTTCCTTCCATTTAAAAAAAAAAGTAAATAAGTAAATAAATGGCAAACAAAAGATCACAAGGCCTAGATGAACCATAAGATGGAAAGGATTATTGGGTCAAGAGTTAGGCCTAACGCAGACAACAAGGATAAATGCATCACTGCCTACTGGCGCTTGGCCTTCTACTTAACGCCCTTCTACTCTACGCCCTTAGACTCCTTTTACTAGGCTTGACAGCCTTGCACAACTTTAGCTAAGTGACACTTGGCCATGAGCATGCCCTCATAACATATGAGTTTCATAAGAAACTGGGAAATCAGAGAGGGTGAATGAATGTGGAAGACGTGTAGTTGTCGGGTGTCTGGATGGTTCCAGCAAGTCCTCAGAAAGTTCTCAGCCGGCAATTCCTACGAAACTCTCACTTTGAATGTCCAAAATAGAAGATGCAATCCATCAGAAGAAGGAAGAGGATAGGAGGGAGCTGACCCAAAATGTCTTGCCTCCAACCAGACAGATGAAGAACAGCCGCGTACCCGCCAATACGACCCTTCTGTGGTTGCTTGCTCCTTGGTTGCTTAGGATAACGTCATAATAACGTCAGGATACGTCTTATTCATCACCAACATCCCTTCGCTATGGAAGACTAAAACTGGGCTAACCTTGAACAGATGATGGGATAATGTATCAGTTTCCTTTTCTATAAAGAATGCATAGTTGCGAACTCAAAAAGAAGACATCTCCCTTGCACATCTGACAACAGACGCACGTGAAAAATGGCTTCGACACTACACTAGGACAGACGAGTGCGACTCAAAAACGCTAAATGCACAAAATTGGCATTGGCAGGCCTAAAGACCCAGGCCAATAATCAGAATGAGTGAAGGATTAAAAATATATTTAATGACACTCTGCTCGTTACGCTGCTAACGTTATGTAAAAACGGACTGCAAAAACAAGGTGGTCCTCTGGCAGGCTTCTGGCAGGCTATCACAGACAGACGAGACGAGAGACGGAAGTAGGATGCCCGAGACACATCTGCAATCCTCCATGGTCTGTCCATGCGGAAGTCTGTCCAATCCATGGGCACTGTGCGCTGTGTATTTCATTTAATCTATAATAACGTTTTTGTGCGGAGTTCATGGGATGATGTTAGATTAAAGCAGACGATTAGTAGTGACGGTTTGATATGGCACAATATGGACATGGCGTGCATGGAAAGGTCCATGATGGCGACTTAAAATGGCGACACGCATTTGAACATGGGAGACAGTCTGTTCACAAACATCCGAGTCGATTTAGAGAAACTCTGGATAGGCCTAACGTTACATTACCTCACTGAAAACGTTTGAGGTTCGAAATAGGCCCATACGCAGGCTAACTTTACACGACCATGCCGAGATGTCCCAAAAACCCTGAGATGGGCTCACCGACTGACTCAGTCTGACTCACCCGATAATCGAAGGTTGAGATTCTTAATGTAGGTTCTTCGATTTTATCTTGAGATACGAAAAAAAAGGAACTAGGCCTGACCTGAAGACAGCCCATGGGCTACCCCTGGCCTATTATATCCTGTAGAAAAGTAGGAGTTGAAGTGAGGGGAAAGCATTTGAAAAATGGTTTTCACAGTCTTTTCCCTACTCATTTTCGGATAGGCGGTGGCATCTCGAAACGTTTATGAATGAAACAAAAATATATTACATTATGGTAGCTGTCTGGATCAAACCTTAGAGAACAGCTTATGTATGTCGACTGTGTTCCGTAGAAACTATATACATTTTTCCTGTTTTGAGTTTCATAATCCTTCTATTTTTACCATGGCTAGGTACGGTTTTCAGCTCTATGAGCTATAGGGTAACTTCGGGGAATATGACCATTGGGGTAATATGGCCGCTCACAATGAAGCCCTTAACAGAATGAATAATTAGTTTGGGCGAATTTTGAAAATAGTTCTATCGAAGAGTGCATGCAATTGTCGAAATGTTTAGACCTGTTCATTGATCCAGTTCTCACTGGAATTCGTGATACATAGATTTATTGTAGTCATATGCATGCGATTCTTCAACTCATGGCCCTGAAACTAATATGGGCCTTGTGCCACTTAAGCGTATACCAAAAGATAATATAGATAGTCTACCCTGTAGATACCATAAAAAAAATTGTTCAAGTTATTCTATGGTTCCTCCTGAATGCTTGTGGAAAGTGCTAGCCCGTTCACTTGCGGTACACATACAGTGTTGTAAATTTTGTAATGCAAGCCAATATGGGGTAATATTGCCACCCCGATTTGGGGTAATATTCACACATCCTGGATTCCATGGTAGCACCGCACTGACCTATTGGTAGTGTCAGCTTCCTTTCATGTGGGACCTCAGACAGCAAAATATCATTCCATGTATTTCCTCTGGATACACACGTATATGGATAGACGTGCTGGACATCTGGACGAAATATGCAGTTCATGAAGAGACGGTGCAGGAGAATATGCACATGCACCGCCTCTTAGACATCCGCTTGACATACACTAGACATTTTTGTTGCACAAAATTTGAATGCAAGTAAATATCCCTTGTACAATAAGTTAAATGGGTATTCTGCAATTTTTAGCCACTATCTATGCCTGCATGCAAAAACTTCGCAACGTTTTTCCTGCAATGTAAGACCTCTTATTTCACACTCTAAATGCATATTCACTCTGATTCATGTTTTATCCCTCTTACACCCACAGTTCGTACATAGTCTCCCAATCACGTGCATTGCTACTTAAAGCCTAAAACGTTGGAATCCTGCTTTTCGCAGCAGATCCTCGAGTCAGGTAATGATGTCGACTTCTTTCCTTCTTCTCAATGTAGTTAGTGTTTCCTTTTCAACTCCCGAGCGTCCTTTATTATGTTTCAAAGTACTCAGCAAGTTCTAGCATATTTCACACGTTCCTGGAAAACCTGGAATTGCTTTTTCAGAAGTGGTCATATTCCCCCAACTATATGGGTAATATGGCCTCTTGAGACCAACTTGGAAAGGATCAAAAGGTACAATATCCATGCCGTTTTTTGCATGTGCCTTGCTGGTAAAGGAGATATGAATCAATATTGTAGAAACATTGGAAAAGTCAAATTCGACCTTGACGGGCCGTTATGACCAGATTTTATTTTGTATGGCTATATTCCCCCAAGTGAATCCCTTACCCTATATCATGAAAATATTGATGGTAAGGAATTATATAATCCAAGGTTCACCATCACATTCACTTGGGTGATAAACATGCATGGCATAGATTGGTTTGTAAATGTCAATGTGATATCAAATGCATCTAAATATAAGATTGCAAGAAGTCAACATTAAATTAATATGAGCATGCTGCTCGAGAATACTGTATTTGATACTGTACAAAATACACATCATGGGGATGTCTCATACCTCCACACGACTCTTCAGAAGACATCACTAAAGGAAGCACTGTTACTAAGACAGTTTAATTATTATTGGGACAGTAGGTCGAAATGGTGCAGTAAGGAAGCAGGAAAGACTAATCTAAATGCATTCAAGCAACCTGGACATGAACATAATTGCAGCATAATTGTAGCTGACTAAATGACTAAAATGATGTACACATGGGATTGTCTAATGATTAACTCCTTTGTTGTCATACGACTCACCCGTGGCACTTATGCGGACTGCCCCCAAAGGCACAAGAAGTGGGCCAAACAGCAAAGGTGTTAATCAAGTAATGAGTGGTATATTAAGCCTTTGATGGCATAATATTTCTGACAGCCAACACGCAGCAGAAAATGCAGTCAAATTATTCACTTCCATGGCAAAGTCACGTTTGGAACATCCTGTGCAAGAAAAAGCCAGCCTGAAGAATGAATACACTGGAAGAAGTGGCTTGGTTGATGTGGAACCTCAGGGCTACGATATTTCCTCCACTCCAATGCCAGTAGGAGCTCTTCTCAACTCGCAATATACAAAGGGTTCCATACATATGGAACCATAGGCAATGTATTATCTTTATATTTCAGGTGATTTTAGTTGAAGACATTGCACTATCGAAGGATGATGGAGTAGAAGTTGTGTCACAATGTACCTCGGAAACCAATAGTCACTGCCAAGTGCTCAACAAATCCATTTGTATAACTGTATATATATATATATTTGTGTATGTGTGCCCAAAGTTCCAGAATTGAGGTATACCTTGTAGTCTTTTATGCAATTGCTCTTATTCTACTTCATGTCACCAAGGATGCGGTGATCCATGTTGATCCCGTGGACTTGGTCTCAGCAGGAAAAAAGTTACGCCATTACATATGATGGGCTTTGCTATTGTTTGTGAGTGAATATACTGTACAGGGTGGTGCAAAAGTAGGTATGCAGTTATCTGCTTATTTCTCATTACTTAGTAATACTTTTCATTGATTACTTGTATTACCTTTAGTTTACTACCTTACCAGTACGTCTAACACTCATTTTGATTACTCAAATTTCAGGTTCCCTGCCACTTTCCTCTACCTGTAAATGCAAAAATAAAAATAAATTACTACTGCATAACTAATTTTCCCTGCTCCTGTATACTAAAGATTTGTTCACTTACCTGTTAAACCTTGACATGAAATTGTGAAATTGTGTTGTCTAATTTTCATTCAGCGCCGTGATGATCTTGCTGGAGAGTTTCATTACTAAGCGCTTTTCATGTTGTAGACACGCGTTAACTTTATATGTGGTTGTGACTGATATGACTTAAATAATTTCGCAATTGGGAAACACATCCTTGATTATTCCACGAAAAATGAGGTATATGATCATGGAAATGGGAAGAGCCCAATTATTGCACATTCCCTGAGGTTGGGAGTAGGAAATAATCCATTTCCGGGAATCAATAAAACAAAAAAGGACCAAACAGCAATCTATATTAGTGAAATCAGAGCATCATCTCTCCTCTAGTTATGAGAGTGATGGCGACATGGTTGGGGGGATCAATTACGTATAGAAAAATACATCAATATCCCTCAGTTCTGATGCCGATCCTGCAATATGTTTATCAAATCAATCAACTGAGTCATCATATTCATTGCTCTTTCAGCAATTTGCAGATACATATTTTCTCGCTCCCTATCCTCGCTTCGCCATGCCAAGCAAATGACCTGGAAGAGAAAAATTGCTTTTAAGGAGTCTGGCGTGCTTAATGGTATTAAATTACCGAAAGTACATTGATCCAGTCACTTTTCTGCAATAGCATCAATTCATCTTTAATCACAATGAGAATAACATAATCTATCAATAGTTCACAACAAGAAAGCTGCCATGGAAAATTGTGGGTTACTCATCGTTGTACTGTTACCTTCTGGAGTTGATATGGTAACGAGATATATACTTCACATTCTTGCTGATTCTCTTATTAACTGAATTTCTTTTGTCAGATAACTAAAGATTAGAGAAATGTTGCTGAACCTCATGTACGGATCACTGTGGTACATATTATATCGATTAAAAGTAAAGGCTACCGTTATTGATCTGTTGTTCTTAGTTTCTCAATCTTTTTTTTGCTTACGGTAAAAGTTCGTAATGAAACGATTACTGATTCTGTCCGCATTTTTCCCATTCACAAGGAGAATATCTCTTCGATGGAAATTCGAATAAATGCCTCCAGCATGCGATGCAAAATTGATGGTGTAGTTTTTCTCCACCCTTATCGATAATCTGCATACTCACCAAAAAAACAAAGGAAATGATGCATATTCCAAGGATGATGAATCCAAATCCAACAGCATCTGGAAAAAAAAAACAATGCACTAAAAAATTCAAGAAAATCCTTCCTTCAAACAGATGTACTGAAAGAAGATACAATCGAGGAAAATATTTATTCTGGACTCAGTTACCCAATAGCTATTTGTGTGCAAAGTTTCAGGTTTCTGTCACATTTCAGACATAGTAAGCAGAAGCGTCAGTCACGAGATTCTGTATATTATGATGCTCAAGTTACTCATGAAAACAATCATATGAATATCAAACATGAAACTGATTGACTAAAAGTTATAGCATTCTTAAAACATTCTCTCAGACATTAATCAATGTTCCTTCTCATGTACTTTCTCATGCACGTCTATAGTACTTAATGATGAATTTCTTCTTATTACCTAGATTTGTCATTATTCTTGACCACGTTCTCTTCTTTTCTCTCTCTCACTTTTCAAAAGGTGTTGGGAAAAGGGGAGTTTGTTCCTCTGCTACTGGTAAATGAAAGCAATGTTGATGAAGGAATACAGAAAGATCTCGGCAAGAGTTATTGGAATTATTGGCAAACCATTCCCATCATCCATTGAATAAATAGACTCAATTGTTGTATTTGTTGATTTCTTCAAATATACCATTAGCCATCAGGCTCCAGAAACTTCAGTTACAATACAACTGCACCTCTCGCACCATCACCTTCTTTCCATCATACTTACACTGTCATCAGCAATTCATTATTCATTATGATATTTATATCAAATTAACACACCATGCAATGCTTGTACCCCAGGGATTCCTTTTAGAACCAATTCTCTCTATACATTATATAAATGATTCTCAAAATATGGGGTCTTATCTGATCGAGTTCTCTGCTGGTGAAACCATTGTAAATATTTCAAGCAACCCTATCCACCAGTCCGAAAAAACGTCAGCATAGCATAAAAACATTGCACTCTTATACCATTACGTTATTGCTAAACTCAGGCAAAACTAAATGTATGCTTATTGCCTACAGCCAATCAAAATAGTCAAAATAATATTTAAAAAACCGCAGCCAATCGGAGAAAGAGGTTGATTGCTTGTCTTAAATAAGAACTTAAATGAGAAATGGTCGATGAATTTATTATGCCCAAGAATCAAGAAATTAGTTATGCAAAGGCCTTTCAAATTCTCAGAACCAATAATGCAATGAAGTCAATCATGGCATATCGAGAGCTAAGGAAATTTTGGTAAGGAATTTGGGAGCTTCAGTGAATTGATATTATTATTGGCAAGGATTAGAATTCGTTCGTGGAAACGCGTGACGTTATGCCTGAAAAATATAATCCCCTTTGAATATCCTGTCAGTATGTTAGCAACAAGGGATTTGTAGGATTTATCAATATGTGCCCTCATGTCAATGATTGTCTACTAAATTGGTTGACAGGAAATCTTACCGTATGGAAATAATTTATTTCCAGGAATGTTCCATGTCATCTGAATGTTCGATTTTTTCTTGAGGTATTACAAAGAGGTGATTATAAAGAGAAAGGGAATTTTCATGAGATTGCAGATTCTGACCGAATTCTTGAATCACACAAAATGGAAGCAATTTGCAAGTTGAACACTCAATGCAAATTAAGACACTGGAACATTGATAGGACAAAAGAATCGCGAAAACTCTCACGTGAACATGGAAGTAGAGGGTGATGGAGGCCACATTAGACAGATATCTAATACAAGTTCAATGTGTCTTAGAAGGACTCTATGGGAAGAACTCTGTATTTTTTTTTCCAGGAGAAACTAGGCCAATCACACTATTGAGATGGAATATTCCCTCGGGAGGAAGTAGTCTAGTGCTAATAAACTCAGAGTGCTAAGGTTCCAAGCAAGATGTATCTCCCTCTCTTACATGTACAAAATGACTTAAAAGTTTGAAGGCTATATTAAGCAAGAAGCCTCAGAGCAGAAAAGCTTGGCATGTTTAAGACCGCATGAATGCTAGTGGAATATACCACGAAGAGAACTGGTACTTGTGCTTGTGTTAATGAGAGAAATTTACAATCATGGCCAGCCTGCAACTATTCCTCAAATTCAAAATTGCATTGAGAGGTGTGAATGACTAAATTAAGACCCCACGCAAGTGACTGGCCTGGTTTCTTAGACCTTTCACTTTGGGCATACTTACGATAGAAGGAGAAAGAATTAAAGAAGCTTGGGCTACATTGATTTGTAGTTTAGGTTAAAGGAGGTTAGAATAAGTTGACATGACATGCTGGGCCTAAGGCAACCATGGAAATCGAAACCTTAACGCTAGGCCTATGTTCATTTAATGCTAGACGTTGATTCAATGCAAGATGGGAATGGCATCGAATGAATAACTCAAGGAAGAAAAGCTCCTTAAGGTTTTATAAATCCTTCAAAGAATCCCTAGATGAAATTGATGCTACCTTCCAGTAATGGCCGCGGGCAATACAGGGTGGGTCAAAAACATAGTTGCTGAAATTAGGGGTTTTTTCTTTCCAAGGCATCATTGGATAATTGTTATGCCTCAACATTCTGTTGAGGAGCGTGTATGGTTTGTCGAACACTTTATTCGACGTAGTATATCCGGCCAAATTCAGTTCAAATAAATGTATAGATAAATAAAAGCATTCTTAATTATATAGTAGTTTCAGTTAACGTTTTTTTGGCCACCCTATATTGGTGCGCATGCGCATCTGTTCTTATTCTTCTCGGAGAAAAAAATGGCGGGGAATATGGTGGATGTGTTGTGCGCTCGCTCTTGGGCAGAAAGTTGAAAACCTGAGTGAAAAAACCTAACGAGAAGTGCTGGTGAAGAAAGAGGCAAGGAGCTGAAAGGAAAGGATGGGAGACCAATTGGAAACCTGGAGAAGAAGGATTGGAGGCTGGGTGAGTAGATGGAAGAAGGGAGCTTTACAGAGATCCGGCGAAGAGAAGCTACCCGGTGGATTCAGACGGCGAGGTTTCTGGAGGACAATGTTAGTGGTGATGACGTTCCTCAGCATATATGCAGGACCAGCACTGAGGAAGGACTGTGCGGAGGAAGGAAGGCGAAGAGTAGAACTAGGCCTAAGAGGGAAG